AAAAATTGTACTGCAGTCGGATACATTGAATTTATTTTAAAACAAACCATATCTTCTTTGTATTCCTATTTCAAAATATCAATATCTTGAAATGATCATGAAGTGTGCATGATGCGTTATACATTCCTTCCCCATCCCACTTCCTTATTTCTGGTTATTTGCTTGGATCGAACTACCAATAACTCTGAGAAATTCTTTTCAATTTCCCTAGAAGGTTAATGTTATCCAGTACATTGTATGTGTAAACAAGGTACAGCCAAGGAAATTAATGCTTACTCATTGTGTCATGTAATACAAGGATTCAAATCGAGGTGAATAGTGGCAAAATATTTACCGAGCCACGAAGTGGCGAGGTAAATATTCCTAAAGCCACTATTCACTGAGATTGAAAAGAATAATTGTTTTAGTATATACACACGAAGTGATCTCAACAAAATCAGAGAGGAAACCATGAAAAAGTACGATTTGATTGACAGATCAGGTCAGCTAGACACGCGAAAGTTTAAAAATAGATCTTTGTAGAATTTTCAAACATGGCAATTCACAAGCTTATCACTTCGCAAACAACAGCGTAATGACTTCAATGGAACCGCTAAAAGTTTGAATTGTTTCCTCACCTGAGAAGAACAGAAGAGCTTTGTTGGTTTCTGTTGACTCGCCAAGTTTATAGCCGAAAAGGTTTGTTGTGTCGTTCTTCGCATAAAGTGCCGACAAAAATGGCGATTCGGTTCCTCGAGGTAAGACGTTGTTTTCATGTAGCATTCTTTCTCGTGTTTACTTGAAACATAGAATTTCTGCAAACATTTGCTTTCAAATTTGTTTGTCATAAATAAACTTCATTGTTGGGCCAAATTTTTCTTGTTAGGAAACGCTAAGTTCACAAAACGGCCTCTTCTAGCCAAATAAACGGGAGTTGTAAACAATCCATCGACCACAAAACTCAACAACAGTAAATGGAAAAACGCCGTTTTGAATCCTTCGAAGTCTTTTCTTGCCTGAAAAAAAGTCAACCCTAGGATTTTGTCAACTTTTAAAAGATCTTTCCCTAAGAAAATGGGGAAAAAAACGAGCTCCCACATTATCCACTCGCTAGGAGGTGAATATGTTGAATAGTCCGAGATAGTGAACCAATCAGATTGCTTAAATCACCAAGATCACTGAGTGTGTATATACTAAATATATATATAAACAAATCTACTGCACAAAGAGAAAACCTTTCCAGCCTCAAAGAAGAAGAAATTTAGAAGAAATTTTAATGGTAGCCCTCGAAATCATCACTTTCACATCGGAAGTTTTTCGATACCCATTTGAAAGTAGTATCTTATCTAATTAATTCAAGAAGGTTTTAGAATTTCCATTTGACAAACAAGAAGAAACAAGTTCAAACCGGAAGTCATTTTTACAGTGCAAACCAAAAATGACCAAATGAAAATGATACATGTTAACAAAAATATGTTTCACAGTATTGTAAGGTTAGTAGCTTAAGGAAGTTGTACACCTGATAAGTATAAACGTCATAATTTAGCGAACATCTGAAAACTCTTCATTAATTAAACCAAAATAGTTTTCCATGCGTATAAGCTTGTTGCGGTATTCTCTACCCGATTTGAATCCTGCATAATTTTACTGCAATATACAGAATAAAATACGTCCTATCTGGTAATATAACCATCGCAGAAATTATGAGATTTTAAGTTTCATTTCTTGAAAGTCAAATTAAGAACTGACAGCTAGTACCTCTAAAAAATCACACTTTTACCGTATAATAAGAGGAAGTCTAGTTATACTCACACTCTCTTCAGAGACAATCATTCGCCTTTTCTTTCCTTTAAATTTCCCCTTCTTACTAAATTTAAAAAGAAGCGAAAAACAAATCAAAGGGGGATTAGTTTGCAAGCTATAAAAAAGCGTTAAAAATATAATTTTTTAAAAAAATAATATTTACAATAAAAAAGTTTCGAATGCTATTGCTTTCGTGAATTCATTAAGCCAAAAGATTATTGACACGAACAATTAAGCTTAATTTCGAAAGAAGCTGGTAAAAATTTTCACCTATGCGATCGACCAGAAGTTTTGATCGTAATTTCACTTTCCGAAAATTCATATTTCGCTATATTAAGATAACATATGACTGCTAGCTAACTGCTATAAACAAACTTCAGGACGAAGTGAAATAAACATGTCTGATCGTCTAGAAGTGAATCTGCTCTCACCTCACTGCCAGCCGTTGTCGAAAAGCCCTCAATAATCTAGGATCAAGCACATTTTCTTCCGGCTCCCAAGTATTGTATCTAATTGGATATGATCGGTAAATCCAGCAATAAGTATAGGGACATCTAAAACATTTATTGGTAAATTATGCACGTGAAATTCACAATGCTTACTTTTGCGAGTAACCCTTCCATTTGATGAAATATTCAATTTTTCCCTGCAAAACAAACCATGGAAAGTCCCTGGATTAATAAAGATTTTTCCACCACAATATGGGGCAAATTTACTCCTTCCTTACCTCTCTAACTCTGCGCTTTAGAATCGTTTCGGCCGCATAGATTCCGTTGTTTCTTCCACCGCGATTCATGACTCATTGTCCAGTTTGAGAGATTGTGTTTGTATTCATAGCAATTTGCATCTTCGCATCCCATAATGTATTTATCTTCGTGACGACACGTGCTACTCGATCCTCGATAAGTCGTCATATGACAAACCGGAAAATTCTTTATTCCATATTGGAGCTAAAACCGACCCTGAGGCCCGATGTGAGAGGAACCACGATATAACCGAGCGAAGTTGTCGCTTTCCCCGCTCAACGAACAGTTTTCTTTACCCCAATNCCGTTGTTTCTTCCACCGCGATTCATGACTCATTGTCCAGTTTGAGAGATTGTGTTTGTATTCATAGCAATTTGCATCTTCGCATCCCATAATGTATTTATCTTCGTGACGACACGTGCTACTCGATCCTCGATAAATCGTCATATGACAAACCGGAAAATTCTTTATTCCATATTGGAGCTAAAACCGACCCTGAGGCCCGATGTGAGAGGAACCACGATATAACCGAGCGAAGTTGTCGCTTTCCCCGCTCAACGAACAGTTTTCTTTACCCCAGTAACAATAAAATATATGGAAAAGAACCTCGCTATAACGAAACCTCGTTATAGCGAATGAATTTTGCCAGCCCTTGGCCCTTCGTTATAATCTCAGCTGTAATTTTGGTTTGACGGCCGGAAGTGAGGTTCCTGTAATTTTAACCGGTGTCATTCGCTTTCCGTTTCTCAGAACTTCAGTATTGCCACGGTATCAAAGTTAATTTTTTGTTTTGTTTTGTTTTTTTTTTTTTTGGAAAAGAAAAAATTTAAAACTGAAATAACTGAAATAACATGAACTAAGAACAAAACCATGTGAGGTGTTCGCGAGGTAAGTTTTGCAACCATCAAAAAAGGTTTTGTCGTGATCGTGAGAACATATATAAGTAACAACCCAGACGACGTCTGGTAACAACCCGAAGGGAAAAAAAGAGATGCCACGAGAAAAAAACGTCATGATATCCATGGCCAACCGTTATCCGTAATTGATATTTCGTTAAAATTATCATTTCATATTCCACTACCTAATTATAAGTAAAATATTACTTTAGCTGCAGACCACCGGAGGAAACAAATTAAAGTACGCCCAAGTTCACCCAGTTTTCTGTATAGTAGCATAACTGTTTCTCCTCTAGAGAGGGAAGTAAGCCCATTGCAGTGTTGTCCCATAGCACTGAATTCTCCACTGAGTATCCATTTATACACATGGCCGTGGGTGGAGTGAGCTACCATGAGAGAAAAGTGTCTTACTCAAGTCTTACTCAAACATAACACAATGACCCGCGACACAAGGATAACACTGTCCAGAGAGACAACACTCAGCACTCGAGTTAACGTTATTGCTTAATTTTAATATAGCGCAAGAGAGGAACATGCAAAGAGAGGAGAAGGCTCCCTCCTCCTTTTCTCCCCTCGTGCGCCCGCGCATCCTTGAAATTTCTCCCTTTGCCCCTGCTACGTAGGCTATGACGTACAAGGACAACTCTTGTGGACAGGGCCGGAATCCGGAACTCTTGATTCCCTTTAATGGTAGTAAGTCCAAAACATAGCCCACTGTGGGCTACCACGCCTCACACGCAGTCTATATCAAGCTGGTTTGAAAATTCACCATTTTCACATAGACCATAATGCATCTAGTTTAAACTCCTCCCCCCCCCCCCCCCCCCCCCCCCCCCCCCCCCCCCCCCCCCACCCCTCGCCACGCATCTCTCATTGACACAAAAGCGGCGAACAAAAAAAAAGTACCAATTCTAATACTTGGGGTTAACGAGAGGGAGCAACAGAGGAAAAGATGGATCAAGAAAGGATTAAAAATCTACGTACAGAAGACATTAATT